TCCCCCCCACACCCCCCGGCAACGACTGGCATGCCCCCAATGCCAGTGCCAACCTCAACACCAGCCCCAGCACCGCCTTCGCCGCCAGGTGAAAACATCGGGCCTGATGAACGTGTGCGTCACCAACATGAGCCGGCGGCAGCGGCGACGGCAGGGACATCGGGGCCCTGATCCGCCGGCAGGAGGGGGTGTTGCGGGAGTTTACTGCGTATGAGAAAGAGGCTCCTGAGGTTGGGGGTGGGGGGTTGGATGTGGAAAAGGGGGGTGCTGGTCTTGGTCTTGGTTATGGTGATCATAGTGATCATGGTGTCCATGATGACGATGAACAGGGAGGGGGAGGGTGGGTGGGTATGGATATGGGTATGGGTATGGATATTGATACGGCGACATCGACAGGGGCAGAGATGGATGAGGCGTGGGACAATGACGAGGCGCCCGACGACGACGATGCCGCGCTGTGTCCGCTCTGTGAGCGGCTGGTTCCGCGGTTTGCTGTGCTTGCGCACGAGCGGTATCACAGCTTGGGAGACGCCTGAGCATCACGGTACCTCGTAGATATGAAGTTGAGTACACTACGTAATGGTAATGAGGCAATGTGCCTCCTAATATGACGCTGCTATTTTGGGTATAAACGCCGACATAGCAGTGCAGCATGGCATCAAGGTAATATTCCGCCATCCTCCTGGACAAGACATTTTCGAACCAACCCCGTTCACTCCGCCGAAACAATCCCGCCATGCCCGTCGATACAATGGTATGTACATAGGGTAAGATGACAACAACAAGTAACGCGACGCTTGTGTTGAAAAGCCGAGAACAGAGATAAACATGAATCCTGATTTTACACCGAGGCGATAGCGCCAGTCTCCCATTGCAGGTAATCCCACGAGTTGCCGCTCGCTAACCAAATCAAACCCAACCCAACCCAAAAACCGCTGACATGGACCAAAAATACACAACGCCCCAACCATATCCAAAAGTAGCACGCCCACCACCACCGGATCTCGCCCAGCCGCACCACCCAGGATGCTACCCAGCAGCGGAACGGGTGGCCAAGGCCAGCAGGCGTTCCAGCTCGCGGTTCCCCTCCTGAGCCTTCTCGATCCAGTCGACCATGCGGCACAGGCCGTCGGAGCGGCTAAGGGCGTTCATGGTGAGCTCGGGGACGAGGGCGGCGAGGCGGCCGTAGCCGCCCTTGATGAGCTGGCGCCGCTTCTTCTCGCTGTCGACGTGGTTCAGCCGCCGTTGTTCCTCGGTGAGCACCGTGCGCGGCGACTTCTTGCGCGCCCCGCGCTTGCCGGGCGCGGCCCCCGCAGGCTTGCGTCCGCGTTTGGGTGCCGAAGTGGTTGATTCCGGGCCGCTGAGCTCGGGAATCGTGGCGGGGACGCTGTGGCTGAGTCCGGTGGGTATGGTGGTTGCGGTTGAGCGCCGTCGGGGTGTTTCGGGTGTTGTGGGGCTGGCGGCCATGCCGAGCGCTCCCGTCTTGCTGGTCCTTCGCCGCCGCGCTGGCGGTTCCTCTGGTGCCGGTGGAATGTGAGGTATGGTCCTGTGCCGGCCTAGGACGAGCAGCGAATTCCCTGCGGCCGTGCTCGGGGAGGGAGGCGCCCACGCGGTGGGACTCGCAGCTCTGGTGGGCCCGGCGCTGTGGTTCGGTTCTAGGCAGTTGAGATATGCAAGCTGGCCCTCCGAAAGGGCCTCGGTGGTTTCGTTTTCTGACGAGGGTACAAAGCTGGCTGTGGTAAAATTTGGATCTGAACCGAACCGCACATCAAACGGGGAGGTTTGGCTTTCTTTCGAGTGCTGGCGGAACAGCCCTGTGTCGAGAGGCTCGTTATAGCGTCTATGTTGGAGTGCTTGTTGAGTGGATCGGAGTTGCTCGGGTCGGACTTGGCCGGTCGGGGATGTGATTGTCTCGAGAGCCAAAGCCTGTTGGTCGGGGAACAGGCTCATCCCGTAGGGACCGGCGCTGCCGCCCACGAGGGTAGCTGCGGCGGCCACGTCGTCCGGGGTTGGCGGGGCGTTGAAATAGCCCTGTGGGAAATGTGACGGCCCTGAAGTAGAGAATCCGAAACCCAACTGGGTCGACCCTTGAGGCTGGTGGTGCTCTAAGGCAGAAGGGGGAGCGCCAAAATTTGAGTGATCTAGAGTTCGAAGTCGGCGGGACTGCTGGAGTGGTTCGTGCGAATTTGAATGGCTTGCTTCTTCGAGGCTATGTACGGCGGAGAAATCGAAGGTGCCAAACATCTTGGTAAACATGGTGTCGTCTGGCTCTCCGAGAGTGACCTGGTGCGCCACGACGCTGGCGGGGGGCGTCATCCAATCGGCCGTATAAACACCACTGAGCCTCTCTACCGTGGTAGCCATGTCGGTCACATCTTTCGGAGGGTAGAGTGAGTTGAAAAAGTTGTTGAGATACTGGTGGTCGCGATTGTCAAGGAGTTCGGTACTACCTAACACCGGCGAATCTTCTCTCTTTGGATGTTGGAGCGTTCGATAATTCATGTTCTCGTGCGCAAACAACAACAGGGGGGGCTGATAGGGACGGTGCAATCATTGAGCGCTGGGATGGCAGAGGTGGAAGAGTAGAAAGTATTGAGCGGACGTTCGTTTGTCGTATTTTAGGACCGTGGTCACCAGCGAAGGGCGGGATGGGAAAGTGAAGAAAGGCTTTGTGTTCTCGTTCCGGGTTGTCAAGAAGTTGGAATGACAGGGGCCTGAGCTTAGTGGTCAGGGTCTGCTGGGGTGGGCCAGGAGACCACCGAGTTATCGAGGGTGCGGGGGATCAAATGTGATTGGGTTTTGAATTTCCTGGGGGGTTGACGAAGGCAAGTGGAGAATTCCATCTTTCCTACCTACTCCAAGACACTCACTGTCCGCTGTATTGCAAAAGTTCACAGCCCATCCAGGCAATGATCCGTTCCTCCATTTGCAGGTTTTGAAACGTCTACCGTATGTACCTGCCAATTTGCGACGAACTACCCGGAGAAGGGAATGTGTCTCGACTATGCAATTATGCGGTGGCAGCTGGTCCACTATCCTACCTTAGTCCAGTCCTTTTGGGGAATTGTCACATGCGCTCTTTGCTGCACCATTCGAAACACCCCGCATCAAATGGGAGGCCAGGTACCGGTGCCCCACCGCCGAGCAGCGCGAGGGCATCCTAGAGGGAAACGAGAATGCGACTTCCCCAGTGATGTAATCGTCCAGTTCCTGACCCTTAGTGCACTTCACACGTTTGGCATCAACCTTGGTTGTGAACGGCCAAGCTGCAAGATACGATGATCGACTGGGTTCGGCCTGCCCTCAAAGGCTGCCCGAGTCCCAATTACTGCCTCGTCATCTCGTACTCGTACCATTCTAGGAAGGAGATGGGGTGGCCAGGTGCCCTCCCCTTTTCAGAACATGTTACATGTCAAGGAGGGCCAAGGAGGTAAGCTATGCGCATCATAGGGCAATCACTACATGCGTCGGGTCAAATAGGGTTGTCACCCACAACCTATCCCGAACCGGCGTCAGCCGCATCGATGACTGCACGAGATGCATGCCGGGATGTTGTAGGTACTGTATTGATGTCTTGGACTGTGTAGCATACAAATGGCAGAGTACCGAAGTCATGGTTGGACCCGTTAGTGCAACCTCAGCCATGCTCCCGGGACTACGGTTCACCATCTCGTGCTTTGCGGCTCAGTGTGCTTTCACTTGGAGATGGGACGAGAAACAACCGGGCGCCGCGGGATCAGATCAGCCCCTGTGCGCCCAAATTACATGCATTGCGGGGGGGATGGATGGGTCGGGGACCAGGGTGGTTTTCAGGTTGTCATTTTATTATGGGGCACATGTCCCGAGGTTAACTCAGGGTATGCAGTTTAGCATCCGCTCAGCTCAGTCCAGGCTTTGTATGTACCTTCCATCTCCATCGGCTCAGTAACTTGCAGTTGCAAACTTTGAAGATGGGTTTTGCAACTTGAATAAAAGTCCTAGAAGGGTTGCGGCAACAGTGAAAGTGTATATGGATTGCTTTTCCAAAATCGCTGGACAGCTTGCATCGCGTTGAATATGCAAGGAACATTCCATTGGCCGCTTAACTGGTATTCAAACGCGCCGAGGTAATCACATATCGCCCCCTTTACTTTGTGTTGTCGACCTATCCATCATCATCATCATCACCAACTACCACACTCCATGGCCGCATCAACCACACTCTCATCACGGAGGAGGTGGGATAGCGGGATCGCCCCGATACTCCAACCCCTAGTACGCGCATACTTGTTCGGGTATGCGTATGCAATTGGCCCTAGACTGCTCACCCTTATGTTGTTAAAAAACGACCAGCATTAAACCCGCAACAAGCAAATGATGGTAACACAGGAGCAACAGGCTTCATCGCTCCGTATACAGATCTCAGACCTGAAGCTCATTGCTACAGCTCTCCGGCGTATTTTTCTAGCCCCCCCTCGACAAGCAGAGCTTCCCGACCTTCCTGCGCCGCTCCTCATTGGCGGTACTACAATTACTTGAGGTGTGTACATACTCGCGTAACATGTCACCCCCTGATGACGTGTGCAACGCACTAACTCAACCCCCTTTTTTTTCCAGCTTCCTTTAAGATCTCTATTCGAACGTCATGCCGGGAGTATCCCTGCCATTCTTCGAAGAAGGTAACACACCACCCCTGTCAACTTCCTTACTGCTGCATTGCTAACCAAGGTCACACATATTACAGGCTCTCGCGGTGGGTGGCTTCCTTCATCGCAGCCTGGATGAGCTTAAGGCTCCTGCAGTCTAAGCAAACCCCAAGCTTCACCGAACGTCACGCCAGATCGGAGCCCGGGCAGGATGGCGAGCCCCAAACCGTCGACGTATGCGGGGCGGACCCTGGACCTCACCCTCTTCGCCTTCACCCGCGCGCTAGACGTCGTGGTCGGCGAGCTCTGGCACCGACGACGCACTCGCCGCGTAGCCGCGGGGAAGTGGACAGCACTCGAGCGCGCCGTCTCCCGCTTCGCCGACCCGGCCGTCTTCGCCCTCTCCAGCGGCCTCGTCATGTGGGCGTGGTTCTACCACCCACCACGACTACCGCGCGCCTACAACAAGTGGATCTCGTCCGCCGCCGCCGTCGACCCCCGCCTCATCGAAGCCCTCCGGCGCTGCCGCCAACGCACCCTCATTTACGGCCGCGACACGGGCCAGGCGGACCTCCTCGGCGGCATGTGCGCCGACTACGGCTGGCCCGCCGCCTGGGGCGACCCGGCGCGCTCCGTGCCCTTCCCCTGCGAGATGGTGCACATGGGCTTCGGGCCCTCGTGCGAGTGGCACGCCCTATCACGCTTCGCCCGCTCTTTCCGCTGGGCCATGACCTCGTACCTCCCCCTTCTCCCTCCTCCTCGCCCTCCGCAGCGGCGGCCGCACCCGCAACCGCAACCCCAAATCCGACCCGACCACCCGCCAAGCCGCCCTCCTCACCATCCTCCACCGAATTACCCTCTCCGCCTCCCGCTCCTCCGCCTTCCTCGCCGCCTTCATAACGCTCTTCTACTACGGCGTCTGCCTCGCGCGCACACGCATCGGGCCCCACCTCCTCAGCAAAACCACGGCCGCGCGCCAAACCATCGACGGCGGGGTGTGCGTCGGCACAGGCTGCGTGCTCTGCGGCTGGAGCATCCTGCTGGAGAACGCGTCGCGCCGCAAGGATATGGCGCTGTTTGTGGCGCCCCGCGCGCTGGCCACGCTGTTCCCGCGCCGCTACGCCCTCGCCAAGCAGTGGCGGGAGACGGTGGTGTTTGCGGTGAGCACGGCGGTGGTGATGACGTGTTTTAGGGAGAATCCGAGGAGGGTGAGGGGGATGATGGGGGGGGTGTTGGGGTCGGTTTTTAGGGAGTAGGGAGTGAGGATGGAGGTGGTGTAATGGTAGTTGATGTATGTTTTGGGGTGTGAGCTGTTTTGTTTGTTGTAAGAGACTTGTAGAGGTGCATAGGGTTGTGTATTATGGCAGAGACAACATCGGAGCATTGCAGCGCAGGGACACTAGGAAGGCTCATGTATTTGAAGATTCTCTTTCTCGGCGGCAGATTTTTAGGACCCCATACATGATTAGACTTGGCCAGGGATGGCTGGTCAACATCAGGACGGTTTACAGACCAAAAGAAACAGTCTAATATTCCATCTATTACCGCTTGAGACCACAGAATCCCCACCCAGCCTTCAAAGCACAACAGTAACTCCCAACGCCAACCGTCGCTCGGTATCCTGCATTACCCTCTCAAAAAACCAAACAAACAACCAAACAAAAACATCTTACAGCCTCGAGGCATTCTCAACAGGCTTCTTCGCCCACTCCTTCCTCCCCAGCCCCTGACTCAGCCCAATCCTCTCCCACCAAAACCGACACGCCTCCCTTTCTTCCTCGGTCATTTTCACCACCTTCGCCGGCCGTCCCTTCCGCCACCCCCCACCCATCTCATCATTGCCCTCCCCAAACACCATGATCTTCCCCTCCCCCGCATCCTTACCCGCAAAGGGCGAAACAAACGCCGGCCACGCGACATCCCCGCCCCTCTCATTGGGGCTCGCCACCGCGCTCGCCACAAAGCTCGCCCACCGCCCGTGCATATCGTCCGCGACGGCGCGCATGCCGGGCCGGCCGCGCAGCTCCCACATGTCGTGGGCGACGGCGAAGGCCTCGTCGCCGTGGTTGGCCGCGTCGTGCGTGGCCGTGGCCGCGTAGCGGTAGACGTAGACGGGCGCGCTAGTACTTCCTCCGTTGGCTGCGAACGCCGCCGACATGTAGTGGGCGGTCTGCAGCACGGGACAGATGTAGGCGTAGTGCGAGTAGGCGGTGTCGAGGCGCGCCCACTGCAGGCCGGCGCCCTCGGGCACGAGGCGGTAGGGGCTGTCGCGTTGCGTGACGGGGTCGGGGTAGAGGGCCCTCGAGCTGGTCGAGGTCGGTGGGGGTGAGGGAGGGGATGAGGGTTTGGAAGAAGGCGCGGAACTCGGCGGATGTGTTGGCGTCGGCGGGGACGAAGGAGGTGCCTTCGTTGGTGTTGAAACCCGTGATGATGGGGATGCGGAGGTGGGTGCCTGAGGCCCAGGAGCTGATCGGGAGTTCGGGGATGAGTGGGGGTGTGGCGGTGGAGGATAGGCCGCCTATTTGGCTCGAGTTTGCGAGGGTGTTAACGCCGTCAATGACGGGCTGGAAGGGCCACGTCACGCTGTCGTGGTACTTATCCCAGACAACGTGGGAGGCTTGGACGATGGTGGAGAGGGGGAGTTTGCGTAGGTGGTTGAAGATTTCGGATTCCGGGACGCCTTCAACGCCCGCGGCGATGAGGAATTCGCGGAACTGAACCAGGTGGCGCGGGTGGGTGGGATAAAAGACAGCGCGAGCGGTGGTGGCGCCGGATTCGAGGATGGCCTTGACAAAAGGGGGCTTGGCGGAAGAGCGGGCGTAGTGCATGATGTGGTGGCCGATCGAGTGTGCGCCTGCGCTGAGACCCATGATGGTCACGTTATCGGGATCGCCGCCGAAGGCCTCGATGTTGTCCTGGACCCAGCCCAGGAGCATCTGCTGGTCCCGCAGCCCCAGGTTCAACAGCCCTTCCCGGGCGGTCACATCCGACGGCAGGAACCCCAGCGCGCCGACACGGTAGTTGAAGTTGACAGCCACCATGGGCGCCTCGGCCCAGGCGACAAAGCTGGCCATGTTCCGCTCGGTGCCGTAGCCCTTGTTGAAACCGCCGCCGTGGACATAGACCACGACGGGTAGGCGCGGTCTCTCTTTTTGCGGCGTCCTTCTTTGCGCCGGCCTCCAATGCGTCGTCCCCTTCGGCGTCATACTCGGGCTTAAAAAACTCGTCGTCATCGATCAGCCTCTGCAGGTCGGTAGATGTTTGCGTTGAGGCAGTTCTCGCTCATATTACGAGCCACCACGCCCTCGGCCGGGCATACCTTGGCCCATGCTATGGCGTCAAAGGTTCTCCCTAGACTCCGGCAGCGGCTGGGGCGGGCGGAAGCGGTTCTGGCCCGCCCTGCGTCCTGGGCATAAGGTACGCCGCGGAAAACCTCGACTGGTTTGGCGAAGCGGTACGACGCCAACAGCGTTGTGCCAACATAAGTGCCCTGGGGCAAGACGACGCGGGGGCGAATGGTGTCCATGTTGTTGTTTAGTGGCGAACTAGACAGTCGACCAAGCCCATACCCGTGGCTGTAGAGGTAGAACCAGAACAACACTAGGACACCAAGAGCGGATAGCCAGGACCAGCCCAGCATGGTACGGCGGGAGACCCGGCGCTTTATCTGGGCGACGCAGCTCATGGATGTGCGAAGCGGAGGCGGCGAGCCGAAGAGCCGGGATTGGCTGTCTTTATCGTGGTCGCTGTGCACACTGTCAGAGCCCCAAGTCTCCAACGGCCCAAGAGATCCACCGGAATTGCGGAGAGACCTTGGCGTGTCTCACTCCAGGTGCTTACCCGGCTATAATCTGCCGTTTGTTTGCCATATTGAGTCGGAGAACTTCCCCAGTCTCCCAGTGTCACAGTGAGGAGTCGGAAAAGTCAGCTGCTGGTTGACGGTTTCCGGTCGGCTAAGGGAGCAAATACAGTCCGGGACACGACAGAAAGCTGCGGGAAAGGGCGCGAAACAGAAGGCGACGAGGCGGGTACAGCATATATTAGGGGCGACCATGGGGGAAATTGTAAGGTGGAATTCTGAAATCCGTTCAAAATGCTTCGTTACGAGATCCGGAAGGGCTGAGCGCAGGTCTGGACGCGTATGCGAGTTTGGGGGCTAAAAAAATAACCAGAGGAAGTCGCACGTGCATCAATTGGTATTGAGCATGGAGGAAGCAGCATCATACTGGTTAAACGAAGCATGGCAGCGGGTTTCCCAACTCAACTTGCAACAAATTTCTTGTGTGCAGATCCATGTTTTGGCAGGTTGGAATCGGAGAAGCGGGACTCAACAAGGCTGTTTGATACCCTAACCCTGGATACGTGAAGAGGAGATGGGAAAGGGGAGAGACCGGAAAGACTGGAAAGAAGGAAGGAAATACTTGAAAAGGAAGAGGGAACAAAGACCAGGGAGGGAAGATAGACAGAGGAACGAAGAAAGGGAGAGACCGAAAAGGCCGAGGAAGGAAGAGGAAACTAGAAGACTAAAAAAGGAAGCGAAACGAGAAGTCTAAGAAGTAAGAGAGAATGATAAGACCAAGACTACCATAGAAGCAGACCTACACCTACTGCGTAACAGCATACTTCTATTCCTCAAGCCACTCTGTGACACAAAGAAGCCGACTCCCTACTAGACAAATAATAGCAATGTCTCATCGACAGGGTAACTAACACTAAACTCCTGCCCAGCCAGTAACCCATAGTTAACGAGGGCGCCGTAACCCCGAGCGCATGCACGCCCCGGATCCAAACACCCCCGTCCAAATAAATAACAAGAATGCCAAACGGCCAGGAAAAAAGAAGCCGCATAACCTAGCAGACAAACTCCAAAAGCACACAGTCGCCATGCACCGCCCACTCTGGTCTGTCAGAACCGCCCTCGCCGAAGCCACCCAGCACCAAAATGCAAGGGCTGTACTTCGACTGAGCGTGGGTTCTGGCGGAGGATATTGATGGGCTTCCGTCGATACAGACAATATCCCCAGGCACTCTCAAGACGGGGCCAAGACCCTCAACACTCCCAGCCCACGAACAACCGCCATCCGCCGCCGTCAGATAGCACCGCTCAACCTCCAACCCCAACTCGGAAACAGTCCCCCCAAGACAGCTGTTATCACCAACCTCCCCTCGCCTCAAACACCCCGGCCACCTCTCTTTACCTTTACCCCTTCTCTCATCTCTTCACCTTTCCTCTCACCACCCTTGCTCTCCTCTCCTCATCTCGGCTCAACCCATCCCCTCTTCTCACCCTTCGTCCCCTCATCTTTCCTCACACCACCTCACCTCCGCTCATCTCTAACCCCTCCCCTCCACACCCACCCCCTCCCCCCCCACCACCAACCCCTCCTCCCTCCGCCTTCTCCTCTCCTCCCCCTCCCTCTTCACCCTCTGCTTCTCCGCCCACAGCCGACTCAACTCGCGACTCCTCTCGGCCGCGCGCTCCCGCGCCTCGCGGGCGGCGCGCTCACGCTCCTTCTTCTCGCGCTCGCGCTCGGCCGCGTACGAGTTGTCGCGCGCAAACACCTCCTTCCCGCGCTGCTTCTGCTGCGCCGCCTCGCCCGCGCTGACCTTGCTGCTGCGCGAGTGGACACTAGCCGTCGAGGTCGACGCCGCACGCGTGAGCGTCGTCGGTGGTGTGGTCCCCCCTGCTGCTGTGGAGAGGTGGTGCGCGTTGGGGTTGCGGCCGCGGGTAGGGAGCGTGGCGGCGGCCGAGGAGGAGGGGGTTGTTGATGTTGTTGTTGTTGTTGTTGTTGTTGTTGTGGTGGTGGATGGGTTGGTTTTAGAGGCGCGGGCGGTGGCCGAGTTGGAGGAGCCAAAGTGCGTGGACTGGCGCTTCTTGGCCACGGGTGTGACTGTTGTCGTGCCCGAGTCGGCCGAGCTTTCGGTCGCCCGGGATTTTTGGCGTGCCAGACTGGCGAGCGTCTCGCGCGGTACCGAGTTAGGCACTAGGCTAGAGCGGATCGGCCGGGCTTTGAACTCGCGCCGCTTGCGCTCTTCCTCTTCCTGGGCCTGGATCCTGGCCTCGCGCTCCTCGCGCTTTTTGCGGGAGATGGCCTCGCCGGGAAGTTCAAAGGTCGGCCGGGTAGGCGCCTTGGCTGACTTGAAGTGCGGCTTCGAGGGCGAGTAGGCAGCCGCTAGGGCAGCGGCTTGCTCTGGTGAGATCTGCTGGGACATGCGCTGCTCGCGCTGCTCCTTGAGGCGACGGGCCACAGCCTCGCCTGGCAGTTCGAATGTCGATACCGTCGGAGTTCTGCCAGACTTGGCAAGTGGCTTCGGTGGGAGGAGGCTGGTGGGTCGAGCCACCTTTCGCGCAGACGAGGCGGTCGGCTTTTCATCCTCCTTAGTCGATGTCGGCTTGCGCACTGAAGAGCTGCGCTCCACCGTCTTGTTGCGGGCGGAGGCTGGTGCCCGAACCGAGGTGATTCGCTTTAGCGGCGTCGACTGTGCGCTCGTGTCCTTGAATTTAGGCGCGGTGGCCTCGGGAGAAAGCATCCGCTCAAGACGGGTGACCTGGGCGAGTGCCTCAATCTCTTCCTCGAGCTTGTCCAGGGCCTCAACCGAATCCTCGATCCGTGACAGTGGCCGGGAGCGGTCACCATCGCGATCGGCGCCGACTTCGTTGACCTCCACAACCAGCCCTGGGCTCTTGGGCACCTCCAAACGTTCGTAGTGGCGTCCAGCCATGGAGGTATCTGCTAGGCGCAGTTGGTCCGCAGCCGCTACTTCCATCGTATCAAACACAGGGGGCCGGCTGATAATAAACTCTTCCTCAGCTTTGACGCGGGTGGCTAATAAGGTATACAAGTTAGTCGACTGGCCCCCTTCGGCCGCACCGGACTGCGGCTCGCGCTTGACAAGGTTGCATCCGAAGTACAGCGTCTTTTCGCCCTGGCGCAGGTCCGCGTCGCCGTGAGAATCGCCGCGGTGTCTACGCCCTGTGGCGGCAGATTTAATGGGAATTGAAAGTAACCACTCGAACTGACCTTCCTGGTGCCTCGACAGTTGCTCCTTGGTGCTGGGAAGTTGCTGGCTAGCCAAGGCAAGCGGATTGCTATTCACAAAGTCTGGAACGCCTTCGACGTCAGCGTATAGCAATAAATTTACCAGTCAGCACAGTTGTATACCTTCTGCGTGAGACTTGTCGCAAGGAGTATCCCTGGTGTTGGGTGCTGCCGATGGGATTCGGGGAGCAACTTCCACAGCGGGACGCGAGATGTTCTCCTTGTCGTTATTATAGATGTGGAGATTGTCTAGTCGACGAGCAAGGGACTCAATGCTGGTCCTGCGTCTGACGTTCTGGATATTGTTGAGTGGAAGTTCGCCAAGAGCCGATATGGTTGTGTCGCAGTGGGTGTCTTTGTGGGAGTGGTCGTCGTGGATGTTAAGCTCGACGCACGGCCGAGGTCGCAAAGTGGTTGCCATGTCTTTTAAATACTACCACCGGGAGCCCCCCGAAATAAGCCCAGTCTGGCCAAGTGTGTCTCGACTCGCCGGCTCGGTGATGTGGGGGACCGGGGAGGGGGGATCGAAATGCAATTTCGCAAGAACAAACACGCGATTGGCCAATGCCGGGAATGAGGGGTGTTTGATCCCCAGCCTGGACAGCTTTTGAGATCTGGGGGATATCTGATCAGAAAAAAGAAGCTCAGTCGCGATGACGATCAATGATGCTTGTTAGCAATTGGATGCGTGAAGCAGATACACAATATGTGTGGGAAGCACCGGGACAACAACCGAGGCGGCGGATTGAGGGGGTAATAAGAGGGTTGCATTGTTTACTTTCCCGCGTCCCAGGGCCAAGAAGGCATCGCCTGCCATCGCCCGCGCAACTTCCGCGGCAACCAGGCTGCATTGCTTGCTGTCTCACCTTCCGGGCCGCCACCGAGCCCAAGCCTCCGTCCCAGTTTCCTCCCAACTTGTCCTGCCCCTCACTATTTTGTTCCAGGAGCAAGTAAGTGCTGTCGACTTCGATGTGGCTTCCCGAATGAGACGCGTGAGGCGGCTAATTTGCTGCGGCGGACAAAAATTTTGGCCAAAAAACGCGACGCGATGACCTTGGTGCACTACCCCGCGTTAGAGGGGGAGGCACAGCATGCGCTGTGGGAGAATGGACACCTTCCAGACCCCTTCCAATCTAAACTGTTTTGTGTAGAGTTTCTCTCATGGGAAGTTGGAGCTAGATCAGAGATGCCATTGTGTTTCGTGCTGTGCAGCAACGGGTGTGGTCTCGTGTGTCTGGCCAATCTGGCTGACTTGAGAAACCCGTCAAGGAGGTATTCATGCCTGCATGCCTGCAGAGGTTCTTCACCTATGGCTGCAAGCAGGGTGCATCATCCAGATGCCTCCTCGGCTGCTCCTTCTGCGTGTGCTTGGAGCGCGGGAGCGTGTTCCGTCGGGATCCGAACAAGCGTCTGGGGAAGAGGCGTCTCGTCTCTATCCACGGCGTCGGCGGCGGGCTTGGGGAGTTTGGCTGCTTCAATTTAGCCCAACTTGCATTCATACCACATGACTGAAGAGGAAGAAAGGGCCTACCCGATGCCATGTTGATTGCCCTCAGCACATTATGCCAGTTGCTCAACACCAAGGCGATGGCTGAGTTAGATGAGCGGTCAGCGGGCAACACAGCAACAACAGCAATAGTTCCGTCCTAACACACCCTCTGTCCCATCAGAAAGCGTGGCGAGCTTCTGTTCCAAAGCCTCCATTTGTGTAGCAACCTCCGCACTGAGATGTCGAAGTTCCTTGAGATTCTCAAGCTCGGCTTTCTTTTCGTTGACCCGCGCCACTAACGCAGGAGACTGGCCCCCAACGTTGGCGGATAGCGACGGCTGCCGCATATGAGATGCCAGTGGCCTTGACGGAAATCCAGACATTTTGCGTGAGTGTTGTTACATGGGCGATGTGAGAGTTCAGTCGGAGGATTGTCTTGACCGGAAACAGACTGGCTTGAGACAGGCGGGTGGTGGGGCACAGTGGGGTTTCGACAACGAAGCTCGAATAAACGCGCTAGTCCGCTTGAGGGAGGAATGTCAACATCAATGCTGAAATTGTCCCAAGAACTTCATCCACGCGTCGTTACATCATCACCACATCGCCCGCACGGCCGCGTCGCCGCATCGAAGAACAGAAACCGAACCACCTACCACGCCCTTTGTATCTGAAATCTATCTTTTTCGGTTCCATTCTCCTGCTATAATGAACAATGGCACGACTCAACGAAGCACCCGTGCCCGTTGATAGTCATCTCGAAATACGTGCGTGCACTCGTCACCGCTCCTTTACAGAGAGGCAATAGTTACAAGGCTGACTTGTGTTCTGCAGTACGTAGGAAGTTTTTACGCCAGAATCGCGACATTGCAAAGATCAACTCGGACCAGTCGCAAAAAATCAGGCGACTCGAGAACGACTGCGCGCGTCTGCTGTCCGAGAACCTCGACCTCCGCGGCCAGATTCTGCGGCTAGAGAAACAAGTCGAAGATAACAGCGCGCAAAGGATAGCCGACCATGCCCTTCAAGTCAAGGAAAAGCTGGAACACCAGCTGTCAGAGTTCACGGCATTGCTCGGGAGTTTGGGGGTAGAGCCGCCTGCTAAAAGGCGTGCTTCGGAAGAACGAATGCTCTCGAATACCTGCCAAAGTATGGCCAGAAGCCCCCCGCAGAGGAGGCGGCGTAACACGTCGATAGATTCCGAGGCACTCGCGGGGATGGAGGGGAGACTGCCCCCCATATATGAGAACAAGACGTACCCGCGGGCTACCATGAAGTACGTGGCGCTCCAGAGCCGGCAGATGGCAAGTTAACTAACTTGTCTCCAGTGGCGATGAAATCCTGGCTCTGTGCGCTGCCGCGGACGACACCAACGACTCATCCGATTTGGGGCCGCCGCCTATTTCGCAATATGTTGGGGAAGAACCTGTGAAGCATTCGCCTCCGACGCCAATTGAGACATTCGTGCCCGAAAACCCAAGGCGGCCGCTGTCAATATCATCGCCTCCGAAACTCGATTACGATAGGCACCCATCTAGAAGCCCCGAGCCGGAAATGGAAGCAGAAGGAATGGTAATCCCGGAGAGCCCGAGCAAAGGCGCGAGTCCTGCAAAGGAACCTTCACCAGAGCCGGCACCGCAACCGGTGAGGGCGGGCGCCAAGCGAAAATACGGCGATGAGAACGGAACTATCCAGAGCACAACGCCATTAACTGGCAAAGAGAATACCGCCCTTACTGAAAAGGCTTTCCCTACGCGTCCTACCTCGAAGAGGAAGAGTCTTGCCGAGTTGGCGAATGTCAAACCGGAGAAGAAGAACACGAAGCCGTCGCTTTCCGCAAAGAGAACGCCGCTTGCTGCCAAGAGCACCAACGAGAACGTATCATCACCGCGTAAGGTGATGAAACCAGCATCGCGGAAGCCGGCTAAGAAGGAGCAAGCTCCGCCTCCGATAGATACGGTTATGGGTGACGAAACCAGCACGCCGAGCCCGCCGGTCGAGATTGTAATTCCCGCCGATCCCGTCCTCGACTCCGTGACCGCTCTACCGTCAGCAACCCCGAGTTCTCCGACGACACCGCATCGGGCGGCACCCGAAGAAATGCTCCATGACACCCCGCCACCCGCCGATATATCTTCGACTGGTGAGACGATTCGCCCGAGCCGCCGTGCCAGGGCTGCCGTCAGTTACGCAGAACCGAATCTACGGGACAAGATGCGGCGGCCAACTAAGGAACTCTTCGATGCCGTTACCGGGGAAGGAAAATACGCTCATCGGACCTCCATGAAGTCGGACGATCAGCATTTGACTCTATCTTCTGCCACTAAAATAAAGCTAGAACCGGGGAGTTCTGCTAGTAGCAACAGCAAGATCAACTTTGCCAGCGACCCAACACCACCCGCCCAGCAACAAGCGCTTCTGAGCCCATTGGCGCAGAAAGACGCTTTCTCTGAGACGTTACCCGACACCGTCGTCACTGATAGGCGGAAGCGGCCGTCCGCGGTTGGCAGCCGTCGAGAGTCTCTTGCGGTTCCAGGGAAGTCCGATGGCGCAAGCAGAGACCTGAGTCCGGCAGTCACAGCACAACCCGAAGCACCCGCACATACGAACAGCAACAGACTTAAGAACAGTCTCCACAGAACCCGTAACGACAACCCAGCACCTCCACCTCCATCTGAAGCAGCAGCAGACATCTATGACTTCAACGCCTCCTCGCCTGTCGCCTCTTCCACGCACCCTACGCCCGACACGAATAGCGAACCGAAGCCTGCCCCGTCCCATTCTTCCATTATCACGGGATCGAGAGCAAGAATCACCCGGAAATCATCCGTAGCCGCCGCCGCCGCCCTCCGCGAACTCCTCGACGAGGAGGAACATGACAGCAAATCAAACCCATCACGTCCTAAGTCACGGTCTACGCTTGCTACGAGGAAGAGGGCATCGATGCTCGTGCCGAAGCCGAGTTCTATGCTAGAGAGCTTGGAGGATAGCTCCGTTGCGGCCGATGCTGATACTAGTGGGGCTTCGACCGAGGGGGAGGATGCTGCGAGCCGGAGGGAGGGGAGGGTTGCTAGGAGGAGGAGTATGATGTTATGATTTTTTTTCCCGTTTCCCATCTTTTGGGTTAGCGGTTGTTAGTGATAAAGAGGCGGGTTGCACAGCGTTTGGCGTTCTTTTGTTCAGTGGGATGGGTTTTCGGCTTGGGGAGGGCTGGATATGGCACGGCTGGCTAGGTATCCGGGCTAGCTAGTGGGGGTGTTTGGTTTGGTTTTTGTTTGAGTGAGGACGAGGTTCAGGGTAGAAGTTGCTCGTTGGGGCTTCTCTCCTAGTGCGGGCGGTTGATGATTCGATACCACCTTGTTAATGTTATCGATGAATGTTGTCTTGTTCCATGTTTTTGTTTAGAAGTGGTACGGCTTCTCGCTCTCAACGAACAAGCAGGGAACACAAATGATACATGTGCCGGAGTGGCTCTAACAGCGAAGGGTAGTTGATGGTTTATTTCCCAATTAGCTGGATCTTCACACAAGGAACGTCCGCTACCAGCGGCGCCTTGTCCCCTTGCTCGCCAACGCCTCCAGGAGGCCCGCGCTAGACGGTCCCACCCCTGGTCGCAAATGCAGCAGATGCTCCTATTGTCGATATGGCACATCATCCCGGCTATGCGATGGACCCTAGGAAGCCATTCCTCCCTGATCGTCATTTCCATCAACCTCCACTTCCCCAGGAAGTCTTGGAGCCTTCGCATCTCGACCCGCCAAATGTCCAGGCCGGTTCTGTCTCTCCCGACGTTCATCGCCCAGATGCCCGTGGCAGCTATACCCTCGACCATTTCTTTATTGCAATAGTACCATCCCTGGCCGTATTCATCATGGCGCCCCCGTCGGCTCGACCGGCTTGGTGTAAGTAACCTTCTCGACCGCCACATTCTCAGTCCCGTTCTCCCCTTTCCTCAACTGATAAACGTATAACGTCAACGAAATCCCTTGCACCTACCCACAACCGCCTCGTTAGCAACCAAACACCAAGTCCAACCCCTCTTCCCCCACGCAAGGCAAACCGGGAAGCAAAACTTACATCCATCAGACAAAAGCTCGGCACCACCTCCTCGGCATCCCCCTTCACCTCGCCACTCCCACCAGCCACCCAATCCGTCGTCATCGCCCCCGTGGCACTCCCCGGATTCACAAAAAACTTATCCATATACTCAAAGCACTCAAACCGATGGGTGCCCCCGCTCCAGCACAGCACATCCACGTCCAGCCGATGCGCCTCCGCCAGCAGCACGTCCGGCTCGTCGCTGACCAGCGTGAAGCCCTCGAGGAAGCCCACGCGCACCGAGCCGTGCGTCACCACTTGGGTCAGCGGCAGGCCCGAGGCCTCGACGTCGGTCCGCCCCCGCACCAGCTTGAGGTCCGACGCGATGCTGCGCAGGTAGTCGTAGGTCGTGCGGTCGGTGAGGTTGCCGAGGCAGAGCGTCTGCGCGATCTTGCCGGGGGAGAGCAGTTTCTTGAACTGTTTGTTGGGAAGGCGGAGGGGCGTTAGCGGGATGGAGTGGAGGGGGGATGGGAGGGGAAGGGAGTGGGTGTGGGCGGTTACCTTTTGGGGGATGTCGAGTGCGCGGTCGGGTATGTGTAGGTCACCAATTACGAGGATTAGGAAGGCCATTGTGGGAGTGGTGGCTTGTTGCCGTGAGGGTGGCCGGGAGACGAGTGGTCGGTTTTGAGGGGGCTTCGTCGGTAGAGGGCTGGTTTGTGAGATAATCGGGAGGAGTTTGTTGCGAGCAGTGGCGGGGATTGGTATGTTCGCCGTGCGAAGTCGTTATTATCGTGAGGCGTCGTTGATTAGGGTGGTGGTTCGAATGCGCTGGGCAACGGTGTTGAGCTGGAGCTGGGGACGCGATGACGACGAGTTGGGATGGAGCTGCCCTTGCCAGGGGAGATGATAGTTAAGGGTTAGGGTTGGTTCCTCTGTACTCTGTGTGGGATTGGAGTTGAGTTAGAGCCGGGACGTATACATTCATTCATCCGACATGTGAGTATTTTGTTAGCATTATCTCATCTATTTTCAATTAAAATCATGTTCCCACCGCTTTTCAAGCGTTGCCTTAAGAATACGCTAACTTACATATCTCCGCCGTTCAATGCCGTATCTTCGCAGCGAGCCTCGGTACACATGGGCAAGTACATACATCGGGATTTAAACTATTTCCATCTTGAGGCCAATGACGTTTCATCACAGATACCAGGACCTCATTATTCTTCGTGTCCGCGCAGAGGTTCTCACCGCTAGAATTATATTTGGACACCGTGTAACGACGCAGTATCAGTACTCTTCAAGCTTGTGCCGGTTGACGATTCAGGGCTGCGGGGTGTCTTCCCGCTCTTGGCAGCCGGTGGCCGGGATCGGCAGGGCCGGCCGGACGGGCCCGGCCTGAAAGCAAGCAAACGTTGCTGCAAATCTGCGAGTTAAATCCGTAAAAGGGGCCCGTTGGTCTGGAGCGCGGCAGAAGTCACCCTGGCCCCGCTGACTTTGACCATTGGATATTGGCTGCAATGGAGTTGCGGGCATTCTCTAATCCTAAATACCCCGCTACGGCCAATGAGGCCCTTACTAATAAATGTTCGGTGCTTCCGTTGCCGATTGCTGCTGTTCCGAGTTTCATGCGACTACGTTGGGATCAATTGAAGTCCTAACAACAAAAGTGAAGTGAGGAATAACTTGGCGATAGTGCATGCAGAAGCGCCTCAGCCGTAAAGTTACTGTACTTTACTTTAAGCTTCCGCACTGTAGCCCAAGGCAGGTTTACAAGTACAGTGGAGATCTCGTGCATTCCATGGTCTTGCTACCCGAGGTATTCAAGTTGGCGCATACTCCGCGCTCGTTGTTCAGACGACTAATAGCAACGGCCTCGATGCCCCGCCAAAACCCGCCCGACAATCACCCCGCCCGGCTATCACTCATCTCAAGGCACCTCGCCCCCGTGTATCCGATCAATACCCCCTACACCGTCGAACGCCTCCCGGACACCATCGACACCTCCCTGCTGCCCAAAACACAGTCACGCAAGCTCTCTACCTCGGCCAAAATGTCATCCCAACCCGCACACCCGACGCTCCTGATCCCAGGCCCCATCGAATTCGATGATGCGGTACTACAATCCATGAGTCACTACAGGTAGGCCGCTAATCGCCACATTGTACCTATCGAGAGTGTGTAGAGCTTGGTGGCTGACGGGGAAATTCACAGCGAGAGCCATGTTGGCCCCGGCTTCGTCGCAACCTTCGGCGAGACTCTCTCGATGCTCCGCAAGCTCTTCCAGACCACGGACCCCTCGGCGCAACCCTTCGTCATCTCCGGCTCCGGCACTCTCGGCTGGGATCTTGTGGCCGCCAACCTGATCGAGTCCGGCGAGGACGTTCTCGTGCTCGGCACCGGCTACTTCAGCGACGGCTTCGCCGACTGCCTGCGAGTGTACGGCGCCAATGTTACGGAGCTCAAGGCGCCCGTTGGCACCAAGCCGCAGCTGCCGGAGATCGAGAAGGCGCTGTCGGAGAAGCGGTACAAGGCCATCACCGTCACACACGTGGATACCTCTACCGGCGTCCTCAGCGAGCTAAAGGAGCTGTCAGCCCTCGTCCACAAGGTCTCACCAGACACCCTCATCATCGTCGACGGCGTATGCAGCGTGGCGTGTGAGGAGATCGACTTTGATGCTTGGGGTTTGGACGGCGTTGTCACGGCTAGCCAGAAGGCCATCGGGTGCCCCGCCGGTCTCTCTATCTCCATGTTCAGCGGCCGGGCCATGAAGGCCGTCCAAGCCCGGAAGACGCCCCCCGCCGCCTATTTCGCGTCCATGAAGAACTGGGCACCAAGTAAGCCTTTCCAATGATTGGACGGGGGGGATTAATGCTAACAAACACAGTCATGCAAAACTACGAAGCCAAGAAGCCCTCCTATTTCGCCACCCCTTCTCCTCAGCTCGTCCACGCCCTGCACACAGCTCTTAGCCAAATCCTATCGAAGCCCATTTCCGAGAGGTTTGCCGCCCACAAGGCTGGCTCCGACAGGATCAAGAAGGTCGTCACCGGCCTTGGCCTCAAGCAGGTTGCCGGCAACCCTGCCGAGCAGGCTCACGGCATGACGGCCATCTACCTCCCCGAGGGCGTCAAAGGCACCGACCTCCTACCCATCCTCGGCAAGAAGGGCGTGGTGTTTGCCGGCGGCATTCACAAGGAGATCGCTACCAAGTACATCCGGTTTGGACACATGGGCGTCAGCCTGGTAAGTTATGTTCCTTTGTGGCCGAACTCTGGGAAGGAATATGTGCTGACAAATCGACAGCTCGATCCGAAGCGGACGGATGTTGACCACGCTCTCAAGTCTTTGGAGGAGGGTTTGGCTGAGTGCGGATATAAGAAGCCATAGATGGTACATAATGCGAGCGTAAAGAGCCTAAACTAGTGCTTATAAACAATAAAGGTCTTTATAGCAACTTCCCAGAAGCATAACGCAACAACTGCGATGCAATTGTGTGTCTGATCTTTGATGAGAGGCAGCCTTTCTGTTCCTTACATGCCAGGGTTAGGGTGACCCTTTGCAGGCTCACAGTGGACTTGGCAAAGCGGCACAGTGGGGTCGCGCTGGAGCTTCCCAAACGCCAGCACAACAGCGTCTGCCGCTTGAAGGCGGGGTTGCAGCGACAATCGAGAGGCTGGTGGGGTTCGGCCTTTGGAGCTTTCGACCCGATCCTCAATCTCTTTTCCATGCTTCCGTCATTCCGCTCAGCCCTCTCTTTCAAGACCTTGACCGCCCTCTCGGACCCTGCGTACCTACATACTTGCACTTTCCATTCCAAAACCCCCGCATCAGAACATAGCCGACCTTCGTTCTGCATCACCCCCTCAACACCAAATCTCAACCTCTTCCTGCGCATTGGTCCGCACCCGCTCACTAGGCTTTCCTTGGAGATTCGACCGGCTACGTAACAAGGCGTGCGACCATGCCCGTCTCCATCGAGGAGTTGGACGCCACCGTTCGGGCCTTCTATGAGGGCCGCGGCGAGCAGGTAAACATACACACGACTTCCTACTGTGGGAGGATTCCGCTGTTGTACGAATCTTGATGCTAACGACTCGTGTCATTGTAATAGCAAAAAGCTGCCCAAGCCGCTCTGAACCAGGCACGTCCACGATCACCGACCCACCGAACTGCGCCGCGATTTTGACTAACCGTTCGCTGCAGTTCAAGGAGGATCCCGATGCCTGGTTGATGGTGGATGATATCCTGTCGAGGGCGACGTACGAACAAACCAAATGTTTGCACCCCCCATGGTTCGACACTGGGAGTATCACTGGGTCGCTGACAACGAAATAGTTCTGGGTCTGCAAGTCCTCGATAATGTGATCACTACAAGGTGGAAGGTCCTCCCACGGGACCAGTGTCAAGGCAAGTAGCCCGCACCATCGCTGGTATCGACGGGGGCAGGCGGCTGACAAATAATAGGAATCCGTAACTTCGTCGTGCAGTACATCCTGCAGTGTTCCAACAGCGAGGAGGCTCTCAAAACTCACCGCACCCTTCTCAACAAACTCAACCTCGTCCTCGTCTCGGTCCTAAAGCAGGAATGGCCCCACAACTGGCCTACGTTCATCAACGAGATCATTTCCGCCTGCCACTCGAGTTTGTCGGTATGCGAGAACAACATGATCATTCTACGACTTCTCTCCGAGGAGGTCTTCGACTACTCTGCCGAGCAGATGACGTCGACCAAAACCCGCAACCTGAAGACAACCATGTGCGCCGAGTTTTCACAGATCTTCCAGCTCTGCCAGGAGATCCTCAACAGCGCCGACCAGCCGAGCCTTATCAAGGCCACCTTGGAAACGCTCTTGCGCTTCTGTAATTGGATTCCATTGGGATATATCTTCGAGACGCCCTTGATCGAGACGCTCCGGACAAGGTTCCTCGAGGTGCCGGAGTTCCGGAACATCACGCTGCAGTGCTTGACCGAGATTGGCGGTTTGCAAACGGGAGGCCCAGGCCAGATGAACTCGTATGACGAGCAGCTGGTCAAGATGTTTACCGAGGTCTTGACATCCATTTCCAACATCATCCCCCTGGACATGGACCTCAAGACAACATATCCACAGAGCAACTCCCGCGACCAGGAGTTTATCCAAAACTTGGCGCTTTTCCTCTGCAACTTCTACGGCATGCATTTGCCGGTAAGTTCCTGTGGCTGGCTCAAAGCATATGTGCTCTGGTAAACTGACCCGCGGTGCAGCTCATTGAAAACCTTCCGAATCGGGACTTCCTCACCCACGGCCACTTTTACCTGATTCGAATTTCCCAGATCGACGACCGCGAAATCTTCAAGATCTGCCTCGACTATTGGCTGAAACTCGTCCAGGAACTCTACGAGGAGATGCAGTCACTGCCTATTTCCGACATGACCTCGATGTCCCTGAATGTGATGGGCGGCGGCGGCGCGCCAAACCCGGCTCTGCTCACCAACTACCCGCTCCGCAAGCACAAGTACAACGAGGTTTTGTCGAACCTACGGGTGGTCATGATCGAGAAGATGGTCAGGCCGGAGGAAGTTCTGATCGTGGAGAACGAAGAGGGCGAAATTGTCCGCGAATTCGTTAAAGAGACGGACACGGTTCAACTTTACAAGACGATTCGGGAGTGCCTCGTTTACCTCACCCATCTGAATGTCATCGACACTGAGCAGATCATGACGGAGAAACTAGCGCGACAGGTAGACGGGTCCGAGTGGTCGTGGCACAACTGCAACGTCCTGTGCTGGGCCATCGGTTCCATTTCTCTAGCCATGAACGAGGAGACAGAGAAGCGGTTCCTCGTCACCGTGATCAAGGATTTGCTCGGCCTTACCGAAATGAAGCGCGGCAAGGACAACAAAGCCGTGGTGGCCAGCAACATTATGTATATTGTGGGGCAATATCCGCGTTTCCTCAAGGCCCATTGGAAGTTCCTGAAGACGGTTGTCAACAAGCTTTTTGAGTTCATGCATGAGTCTCACGAAGGCGAGTCAAACCTGATAACCGAAGAGGCTTCGTCTTGCTAACACTCACTAGGCGTCCAGGACATGGCCTGCGATACTTTCATCAAGATCGCCAAGCAGTGCAGGCGTCACTTCGTTGCGCTCCAACCTAGCGAGAACGAGCCGTTCATCGAGGAGATTATCCGCAATCTTGGTAAGATCACTTGCGATCTGACTCCTCAGCAAGTTCACACGTTCTACGAGGCATGTGGCTACATGGTGGCGGCCCAGGGGAATAGAAATCAACAGGAGCGCCTGCTGTCCGAGCTGATGGCCATCCCGAATGCCGCCTGGGACGAGATCATCAAGCAGGCGACCATCAACCCAGCCATTCTACAAGACGCCGATACTATCAAGATTATTGGCAACATCATGAAGACCAACGTGTCTGCCTGTTCGTCTATCGGGCCTTACTTCTTCCCTCAGATCGGCCGCCTGTACAACGACATGCTGCAGATGTACGCGGCGACCAGCCAGCTTATCTCTGAGGCGGTTGCCCGTGAAGGTTTGTGCTTATTCTGATTACGCCTCTCGGGTATCTGTGATGCTTACTGTTTCTAGGCGAGATTGCGACCAAGATGCCCAAGGTCCGCGGTCTACGGACCATCAAAAAGGAGATCCTGAAGCTTATCGAGACCTTTGTCGACAAGGCGGAAGATCTGCAAGCCGTTCGGACCCAGATGGTGCCCCAGCTTCTTGACTCCGTGCTGGTTGACTACAGCCGCAATGTCGCCGGTGCTCGTGATGCCGAGGTCTTGAAGGCCATGACCGCCATGATTACCAAACTTTCGGTATGCTTCAATCTGTGGGAGTGACTGTTTTGACAATGGCTGACACGTACAAACTAGCACCTTATGGAGGACCAAGTACCCGTGATCATGGAGAACGTTTTCGAATGCACTCTGGACATGATCAACAAGGACTTTTCCGAGTTCCCCGAGCATCGTGTCGAGTTCTTCAACCTTCTCCGGGCCATCAATCTTCACTGCTTCCCTGGTATGTTGTCTTATTTGGGGTTTCATCGGATAGCACTAACAACTTGCAGCCCTCCTGAAGCTTGACAACCGGCAGTTCAAGTTTGTGATCGATTCTTGCTTGTGGGCAAGCAAGCACGACAACCGCGACGTCGAAACGGCTGGGCTGAACATGTGCCTAGAATTGATCAACAACATTGCCGAGAAGACGGACGTGCAGACCTCGAATGCTTTCTTCAACCAGTTCTTCATCACGATTCTGCAGGATGTCTTCTTTGTCCTGACGGACCAGGACCATAAGGCCGGCTTCAAGACGCAGTCGATGCTGCTGATGCGGCTGTTCTACTTCATTTCCCCCGCCGACGCCACGCAACCGAAGATCCAGGGACCCATCTACCAGCCCGACCAGGCGCAACCCGGCACGAGCAACCGCGAATTCTTGGGCAACTTTGTTAGCACCTTGTTGCAGAACGCGTTTGGCAATCTCACCCCGTAAGTTTTATTTCCCCCACGCCGCTGGCCTAACCGGGCAGCAATGATCTAATTCTTCTTCTTCAGAGCCCAAATCACAGCCTTTGCCGAGAGCCTCTTCACGCTCAACACGCAGTACGACAAGTTCCGCCTCACGCTGCGCGACTTCCTCATCGCCCTCCGTGAGTTCGCCGGCGACAACGCGGAGCTGTACCAGGTTGAGAAGGAGCAGCAGGAACGCGACGCCACGGCGGCGGACCGCGAGCGCCGGTCCAAGGTGGGCGGCCTGCTCAAGCCGTCAGAGCTCGAGGAGGATGAGCTGTGACTACAGGGCGAAGAGCTGAGGACGGAGTTTGCGCCCTCCCATGATGAGGTGGGGGGAGCAACTGCGGGGGGTGGTGGGGGTAATGGTGACGGCTGGGAGTTTTACGGGCTGTGACATCTCCTTCTAGTCTCGGTGGCTCTGATTTGTTAAAATGGGGCTTGATACTCAGATCAACTCAGGTCCCGGGCCGCGCGGCCTGTGGGAGGAACGATGTGTTTTTTTCTTTCTTTTATTCTAGGGTGTTTATCTCGCGGACCCTTTGTAGTGATACCAATAGAAGAGGGTATGATCTCTGTATCTCTCTTGCTCTTGGTGTCCATGTGCCTGGGCCGCGTCTGTGTCTGAGTCTTAACTTTACTGCCTTAGGAGCTTACCGATTAGGACTTCACATGGATGATAGGTGTGTTGCCGTACAGTGCATATAGGGGTCGGATATACAGTGCCTTCCTCCCGACTTGACAGGGGCCCTCATTAGCGCCAGCAGCGCAAGGCTTCCCGCATCTGTCCGGCCCTTGCAGGCGCTGAAGATTGCTGCACTGCACCCCACAGAAGCGAAGCAGTCAAATGGGGTCAACATGCCGAGCGGGCAGTTGGGCTTCCTCTCGTATTTGGCGTACATGTACCTCCCTGACAGATCTGTACCATACCAAGCTCCAGCTTTTGGGTTTTTGTTCCTGCAGATGGTCAAGCATGGCTGGCACGGTTTCAGATTGCTTGTGTTTCATTGTTTTTTGAGCTCCCGGCATTGGATCCGCCGTGTCCGGCGACAAGCTCGATGAATGGTTAGAGGGTCAGGTCCCAAGAAAGATCGCCCGAGGGTCGCCAACTCACACCACCCTTTCAGCCGCTGGCTGACTCCCGGTCTTCGGCCCTTTATTGATTTATTTCAGTTCTGTTGCAAGACTTGCTACTTACTGCCTTGTTCCTTGGCCCGACGGAGACGGCGACGGCGTTGGGGATTTTGGCCATTGCTTTTAGTTTCGTTCCCCGTCTTCGACGTCAGTTCCGACGTCAAACATTCGCGCCCCATCGGCTACCTCTACCCCTGTTGAGTTACAGAGTACATACCTATCTTAGTAAGGGGCGAGCTGGTCTGAAGGTCGCGTGTGTTTGTTCAGCTTGTGCTGTATCCTCTTTCCACTCAATGCCTTCGACATTTCTCATCTGGGATCAGACAACTACACTGAAAGGAACTACTTTAATGAGTTTCAAGTCGTCAATTCGAGACTGTCTTGACTGGACTGCCGCATACCAGTCGACAGAAGATCCCGAAACCGAGGGGTCTCGGATGAAAGACACCATCTCCACATTCCAGACAACACGCAATACGGGACAACGAGAGCAATCATGGCTCCGTGGCCTGGGGGAGGAGGAGGAGGAGGAGGAGGCGGTGGCGGCTCGCACCGCCCGGCGGAACCCACATTACCCGCACCCGCACCCGCGCCGGGCTTTGGCCGAGACCAGCACTTGACGCCTCGCCACGGGCGTGACAGGCCCACCGTCGGGCGATACAGAAGCGCCTCCCGGGTTTCGGAAATCGATGCGTGGGATAACATGCAAAACCACCAGCTCCAAAACGATTCTAGCTCGGATGAGGATCTCCACCCCCGGCCCCGCCATACCCGCTCCGTGAGCCATCCGTTTCCCTCGCTGTTTTCGGGCAGGAAGAAGAAGCGATCCGCTACCATGGCCGGCGCCGAAGAGTCTGGGTCTGATTCTACTGGTGAGGGACTCGGTATCAAGGGGAATCAGCCTCCGGTGCGTGGGCATCGGAATGGTTCTTCGGCGGGGAGCAGGGACTTCACGACGGGGCGTTGTATGACGTGCGGGTCGCTGGTGCGCTGGCCGAAGGAGCTGCAGATGTTCAGGTGTACGATTTGCCTGACTATCAACGATGTATCACCTGTGGACCGTGATGTCAGGAGGGAGGACCCCCAGGAGGTGGCAGTGACGTTCGAGGAGCAGCCTGCACCGAGAGGTATGAAAGTCGCTTCACGCACCCAGCCTTGATCATTGAGGACTAACCTGTGATGCAGACAAAACAATATCTCTCGGGTATACCAAGGTTTTAGTCGACCAGTGCCTTCGTGCATTTCTGACTTCGGCTTTGAAGAAGCAGACTGGTGGCGCTGCCCCTGGTAGGGAGTCTCCCGTCAAGCCGTCATTTCTTACACCCGATTATGCCAGGGTGCCCACGCCATCCACCGCCGCCCCTCCGTCCCTGCGGCCCAAGACTTCTCTGAACTTTGAGCCACGTTTAGGCCCTGGTCCACCCAGAAGCCCAGCTCTGCACCGCCGTGCCCCCAGCTGGGCTGGCACTACTACATCAAGAATGTATTCCACGTCCCCAGAAAAACGGTCTCCCCTCCACAACCCCATGCCACCGGGACCTGGGGTCCGCCCGCGCCATCCGCCCCCAAGTCCGGGGGAGGAGACTAGGAGGGTATTCAAGTCGCTCGAAGACTATATTGTCCAGTGCTTCACTACGTTTCAGTGTCTAAACACATCTTTCTTAATTCCTCGAGTCCAGCCCCATAGCAGTCACGGGGCCGAGAGTAGACCCCGTCGTCCTTCCGAGCACACCGGCGCTCGTCGAGAAAGTCGGAGCACCAGCTACCCCGTCCCCGACCTGGACCCCAAGCTCTTGCTCGTGGGCGATTTTGCCGAGAACGGTACATGGTGGATCGGACACGAAGAAGCACCGGTGAGAACACCGTCCGGCAGGAGCCAGAGTGGCCCCTCGATCGTCAGCCCGAGGAATCCGTACATGGACTGGGCGGCGCTTGAGGAGTGGTACAGGACGGCCATCGAGCCGGCACGGGCTTGGTCAGCTGTCTATGAGAGTTTGGTGGCCGAAGACCCAGCTCTTGCCGTACCTCCTGCTGCGCTGCAGGACATCGAGAAACAACTTCTCGCCGGACAAGAACATGTCCATAGGGCGCTTCTGAAAGCCTCCGAGTCCATTCTCAAACGCCCCGGGCGGCCCCTCACCGTGCCCCGGGATCTCAGGTTCCTGCTCATCATCACAGCGAACCCCCTTCTACACGCCTCCTACAAACCGTATGCTGGTGTATATCAACCAACGAGCCCCTTGCCAACACCAAGCAGCGTTTCCCCTCGAGGTTCTGGGCCCGCGTCAGGCCGGCATTCCGTCATCATCAAACGTATTATGGGGCTCATGTCCAACACACCCGCCGAGTGCCACAACCATCTCGTGGCCTGGTTCGCCAGGTATTCCGAGCCGTTGTTCGTGCAGACAAAGGATTTGGTTTCCGGCTTCCTCGCCTACCGTTTGATCCGGCAGAACGAGAAGAGACACGAGAGCCAGGTTGACTACATGGGCGGTCTCATCCCCAACATGGGGCCCAGCCATTCCCCGGCCGCGCTCCACGCCGCGCTGGGACACTCGCAGCGAGCCAAGAAGCAACAGGAGAAGAAGAAGCAGGTCGTCTACCAGGAAGACTGGCAGATCAAAGCCACCGCGCAGGTCCTCGGCTTCCTGTTCGCCGCCAACAACATGGGCCACGCCCACCGCGGGCTGGCCAACCGGCCCGACAGCCCCGGCAACAGGCACCGCGAGATTGTCCACGCGCCGGGCCAGATACTCGCTACGAGTGATTTCTACATGACGCTGCTCGACGACGCGGACCTGGTGGGCGAGTTCGAGGCGTGGGAGCGCAGACAGGGTCGCTTCTCCTTCTGCCAACACCCGTTCCTCTTGAGCATCGGGGCTAAGATTCAGATCCTTGAGCATGATGCTAGGCGGCAAATGTCGAATAAGGCGAGGGATGCCTTTTTCGATAGCATCCTGACCAACAGGGTGGTGCAGCAGTTTTTTGTTTTGAATATCCGCCGTGAGTGTCTCGTGGATGACAGCTTGAAGGCCGTCAGCGAGGTGATTGGGAGCGGCGGGGAGGATATCAAGAAGAAGCTCAAGATCGTTTTCAAGGGCGAGGAGGGTGTCGATGCAGGGGGGCTGCGGAAGGAGTGGTTTCTGCTCCTGGTGCGGGAGGTGTTTAACCCCGACCACGGTACGTCCTG